ATGAAGAGGGTCATCGAGGGACCTGAGTATCTATGACTACTACCTGCTTCTTGGCCAAAAACTCCAAAGAATATTCAAGTTGACCCTGAAGATAGAGAACAGAAGAAATTTCACGTCCGAAATGCTAAGACACTAGCACTCAAAATAAATTCTATTCCTGAGTCTCAACCAATAGTTGATGCCAGCAAGTATTCCAGTTGGCAAAGGCTTAAGATGATCACAGCTAGGGTGCTCTCGTTGAAGGAACTGCCAAAGAACCTATGGTTAAAGCGGTTAACCCAGCAAATATCACAGTGGCCTTCTTCTAAGCTACTCAGGGAAGCAGAGTTGTATTGGATTCGACAAGCACAAACAGGTATCAATTTCAACAAGCACAACATTATGAAGTTAGATCCAATATTTGATGAGAACGAGAGAGTGTACCGTGTTGGTGGACGAATGGACAATGCACCACTTTCATATGATGTGCGACACCCTTACCTTCTCCCAAAGGAAAGTCATATTAGCCTGATAATTGTTCGTGACAGACACACACATGCCCTTCATGGGGGACATCTCAGAACTGCGACAGAAGTGAGGAAAAGGTACTGGATTGTTGGAGACACAAACATCTCTAAGGTAGTTGTGCGTCAGTGTATCATTTGTAGGAGACACAAAGGAAAACCAATAGAGCAAAGGATGGCAGACTTGCCCGATTTCCGAGTGAACCCATGTTCACCTCCATTCAAAACCACACTTGTAGATTACCTTGGTCCGGTGAATGCAAAGTTGAACAGGAACACCACCACCAAAGGTTACTGTGCGGTATTTACTTGTGCAGTAATTAGAGCTGTGCACTTAACATGTGTTCAAGATCTGTCAACCCAAGCATTTCTACAAGCTTTGGAACGATTTGTAAGCCTCAGAGGAGCTCCATCTTTGTTAGTGAGCGACAATGGCACCTGCTTTAGAGGAGCTAACAACACCATAAATGAGTTAAACCTAAAATTGGACCAGACCACAGTCCGAGAACAATGCCAACGGTATAACGTTCAGTGGAAATTTGGACCGCCCGGTGGCTGTCTCTTATACACATCTAGATGTGTATAAGAGACAGGTATCAACTGGAGAGAAGAGCAAGCAAAATTACACTAGAAATCCCAAATGTGCCCTGCATCCAAGTTCTAATACACACTTCTTAAAAGGCTGTAATAAGTTTAAAGCCATGTCTCAGAAGGAAAAATATGATGTAATGAGAAATAATGGGATTTGTTACAGATGTGGCCACAATAATTGCTCTGCTGGTAAACACCCATATGACAAAAAGTCCTGTCAGTTTGCTGCACCTTGTCGAACTCCTTCTTGTGGAAGTGATCTTCATTTTCCGGCTATTTGCCCTGTTTTATATGAAAAGAGGGATCAACCAAATCTTAATTATGCTGCTCAACCCTTTCGTCCTGTCAATTCAGATAGTGTTGCTAAGCAGTCAAACACTGTCACTTGTAACGAGAAGAGTAAACTACAAGTGACTCTACCCACTTTCATGGTTTATCTTAGATGTGGCAACACCCGTCGCTTAGTGCGTATCTTATTAGATGGTGGAAGTCAGGCAACACTCTTGCGAGCAGGAATTTTTCCACGAACGAGCCAAGATGTTTATCAAGATCATGATCTGAGTCTGGTTGGTGGGAAGAAGATAACAAGGAAATTAAGACTTCTGAATTGCCACATTGAAGATATAAACGGAATTGGTCACATCCAATTACTATCACAGAAATTGATGATCCCTGTGGGAACGCTCCTGTAATACATAGAGAGCATTTGATGCAGTACGATCACCTGAGTGAAGTCGATATACATC